CACAAGTGTAAATATCATCATTGGTTTACATGGAAAAAAGTTAAGCGCGTACAACGCGTACGTGCTGTAACGCGTCATGTGTAAATTAGCAGACCGCGAAAAGTGAACTGTTTTTCAGCTGAGGAGACTCCTGTTCAGAATAAAGAATAACACATTTTTCCTGTTTCTGTTTTGGTGTTTGTACTTTGTGTAATTGTTTTACTATCATCATGTTTTAGATTATAGATTAGATCGTATGTCAGGTGTCTCCCAATGGAAAAAATGTTAAGCACTTTGTGATGTGAGAATTGTATACATGCATATCTAAAAAGAATTGATGCATGCATATCCCCCCTAAGGCCACTAGGGGTGCCCCCCCATCCCCCCCTCTGGAGGTAACCCTGTCTAGTAAGGTTTAGCTGTGGGGTCTTTCCCACTGGTGCCCTCTTTAAATAAAGCTAAATCTGTGTCTTCCTCACTAGACCTACTTCAGTTAACCCTTAGAATAACACTCGTGTGTGAGAGCAAACATACGCTTTATTCTAACCAACCCTCTCTTTGGAGAGCACATATTCTTCCCTTACAGAGAATACGACTTTATTCCAGCTCCTCACAGCAGCAGGAGAACGCTCCATTGATTAGAACGCTCTTTCAAAACGTTCTACAGGTCATCATTTCTTATAACGGACCTCTCAAAACAATAATGACCGCTGCCCTTTGGCAACGCACTCTCTGCTTGTAATTCATGTGTGTAGATTGCTCCGACAGTAGTTCCGGCCACTCCGGAGCTAGCCACGCTCAATCAACACAAATACCAGTCACTCAACACACTTCAATGTTAATCGGAGAATACATTAGACATATACATTCTTAACACACGTGCACGGAGGATTTCAGAAGTATCTGTTCACGTTTTCATGACAAAAAAACTGTTTTAATGCGAGAAAAGGCCATCCCAAAAAACCCGGAAGTAGATACGGCACATTTTAGGAACATTTGCAGAGGATGGAATTATGGATTTAAGTTAAGTTTATGTTTGGGTCACTCACCGCTGATGTTCAGGATTCTGTGTTCAGTTTTAAAGCAGTTCCAGAGAGTTCTAGTTTGGAAGTTGCTAGCCTAACTGTTACTAGCATAGCCACGGGAAAGCCTTTGGGAACTATTTTATTTTCTGTCATTAAATCAACCTTTTGGTATTCCTAAGAGTGGACTGAAGTTTATTTTGTGTGTTCTGTTGGTACAAAGCCGTATAATAAGCGGGATCATGTATCGTACACAGGTCATTATCGGAAACCTTCAGGACGAAGCGGACCCCGACGCGCTTATTTTCCGATAATGACCTGTGTACGATACATTATCCCTTACTCATAACATTCTAGGCCAGAGTCCGAACGGTCAATGAGGCCCAAAACGAGGCCTTAAGCCCAGTCCAAACAGTTAGCATAGCCTCAACCAAGAGAAAGGAGCGCTCTTACTTTGGCTGCTGGTGGGAAAAAGCGTTTTGTTGTAGAGAGTCCGAAGTGCACACTTTTGCGTGCTGTGCGTTTGGTTACGTGTGTGATCCAGTGATGACAAGGCCAGGGAAAGAGTTGTTGGTTTAAAGACGGAGGCGTGAGGCTTATGGAGGCTGTCCAGCAGATCCTCCTTGAAGATGGAAGTCAAGAGCCTGAGCCACAGTTTGGTCACGGAGAGAGCCTGCTCCCTCATTAGCCTAGTCCCGCCTCAGGGCAGACCTAGGCCTGGTAGTTATATAGACATCACAGTTATTCACTTCACTTATGTTTCACACACAACACAGATGAAAGACATTACATTCACAGGATCAATATTGTCATTGACTTATTGGGATCAATTTAGTCCATGTCCAGATATTATTTCATGGATGATGTGGAGTCTGTTCCCTTCCCCAGGGGTTAGTGAAGCATTGTCCTTGCTTTTAGCTGACCCTGCCCCCGGCGTTGGTGTGACAGAGTCTGGGCTCCAAAAGCAGCAGGAGGCCCACACCTGGTCAGGGAGGTCTGAAGGATCAGTTGAGAGAAGACCCATTCTTAGGATTCCACATTGACTCCTCTGTATGAGCGATCGGTCGCCACTAGATCATAAACCAAATCTGGACCAAACCGGAAGTAACAATCCTACTTTCAAATTAGTTTTAGACTAAAAAGTCCTTAAAGTGGTGACTGGTTAAGTTTTAGGCGTCTGAGTAAGATGGTTAAGGTTAGGGTTAAGGTGGTCTGAGTAAGATGGTTAAGGTTAGGGTTAAGGTGGTCTGAGTAAGATGGTTAAGGTTAGGGTTAAGGTGGTCTGAGTAAGATGGTTAAGGTTAGGGTTAAGGTGGTCTGAGTAAGATGGTTAAGGTTAGGGTTAAGGTGGTCTGAGTAAGATGGTTAAGGTTAGGGTTAAGGTGGTCTGAGTAAGATGGTTAAGGTTAGGGTTAAGGTGGTCTGAGTAAGATGGTTAAGGTTAGGGTTAAGGTGGTCTGAGTAAGATAGTTAAGGTTAGGGTTAAGGTGGTCTGAGTAAGATGGTTAAGGTTAGGGTTAAGGTGGTTTGAGTAAGATGGTTAAGGTTAGGGTTAAGGTGGTCTGAGTAAGATGGTTAAGGTTAGGGTTAAGGTGGTCTGAGTAAGATGGTTATAGGTTAGGGTTAAGGTGGTCTGAGTAAGATGGTTAAGGTTAGGGTTAAGGTGGTCTGAGTAAGATGGTTAAGGTTAGGGTTAAGGTGGTCTGAGTAAGATGGTTAAGGTTAGGGTTAAGGTGGTCTGAGTAAGATGGTTAAGGTTAGGGTTAAGGTGGTTTGAGTAAGATGGTTAAGGTTAGGGTTAAGGTGGTCTGAGTAAGATGGTTAAGGTTAGGGTTAAGGTGGTCTGAGTAAGATGGTTAAGGTTAGGGTTAAGGTGGTCTGAGTAAGATGGTTAAGGTTAGGGTTAAGGTCAATCAAATCTCAATTCAAAAAAATCTTTTTGTAGAGCAATTTAAACAGCTAGTTACAGTGTGAACAGACAGGAGGAAAAAATAAAAAAAAACATAATCAGAAATGTATATACAAAAAGAACGATTTGTCTCTGTTACTTGGTAGAAAGCCAAAGAAAAAGATGGTTTAAGGTGCTCGAGTGATTGTGCAGTTCTGATGTGCAAGTAAAAAGTTCCACAACTTTGGCCCTATAACAGAGAAAGCTCTGTCTCCTCTGGTCTTCAGCCTGGTCCTAGGGACGACAAGAAGGTGCTGATCTGCAGAGCGCAGTGCTCTGGAGGGAAGGTGAGGCTGGAGGAGTTCATATAAATAAGAAGGTGCCATTCTATTAAAACTTTTAAAAACGATAATAAGAATAGGTGGTCTGAGTAAGATGGTTAAGGTTAGGGTTAAGGTGGTCTGAGTAAGATGGTTAAGGTTAGGGTTAAGGTGGTCTGAGTAAGATGGTTAAGGTTAGGGTTAAGGTGGTCTGAGTAAGATGGTTAAGGTTAGGGTTAAGGTGGTCTGAGTAAGATGGTTAAGGTTAGGGTTAGGTGGTAGGGTTAAGGTTAGGGTTAAGGTGGTCTGAGTAAGATGGTTAAGGTTAGGGTTAAGGTGGTCTGAGTAAGATGGTTAAGGTTAGGGTTAAGGTGGTCTGAGTAAGATGGTTAAGGTTAGGGTTAAGGTGGTCTGAGTAAGATGGTTAAGGTTAGGGTTAAGGTGGTCTGAGTAAGATGGTTAAGGTTAGGGTTAAGGTGGTCTGAGTAAGATGGTTAAGGTTAGGGTTAAGGTGGTCTGAGTAAGATGGTTAAGGTTAGGGTTAAGGTGGTCTGAGTAAGATGGTTAAGGTTAGGGTTAAGGTGGTCTGAGTAAGATGGTTAAGGTTAGGGTTAAGGTGGTCTGAGTAAGATGGTTAAGGTTAGGGTTAAGGTGGTCTGAGTAAGATGGTTAAGGTTAGGGTTAAGGTGGTCTGAGTAAGATGGTTAAGGTTAGGGTTAAGGTGGTCTGAGTAAGATGGTTAAGGTTAGGGTTAAGGTGGTCTGAGTAAGATGGTTAAGGTTAGGGTTAAGGTGGTCTGAGTAAGATGGTTAAGGTTAGGGTTAAGGTGGTCTGAGTAAGATGGTTAAGGTTAGGGTTAAGGTGGTCTGAGTAAGATGGTTAAGGTTAGGGTTAAGGTGGTCTGAGTAAGATGGTTAAGGTTAGGGTTAAGGTGGTCTGAGTAAGATGGTTAAGGTTAGGGTTAAGGTGGTCTGAGTAAGATGGTTAAGGTTAGGGTTAAGGTGGTCTGAGTAAGATGGTTAAGGTTAGGGTTAAGGTGGTCTGAGTAAGATGGTTAAGGTTAGGGTTAAGGTGGTCTGAGTAAGATGGTTAAGGTTAGGGTTAAGGTGGTCTGAGTAAGATGGTTAAGGTTAGGGTTAAGGTGGTCTGAGTAAGATGGTTAAGGTTAGGGTTAAGGTGGTCTGAGTAAGATGGTTAAGGTTAGGGTTAAGGTGGTCTGAGTAAGATGGTTAAGGTTAGGGTTAAGGTGGTCTGAGTAAGATGGTTAAGGTTAGGGTTAAGGTGGTCTGAGTAAGATGGTTAAGGTTAGGGTTAAGGTGGTCTGAGTAAGATGGTTAAGGTTAGGGTTAAGGTGGTCTGAGTAAGATGGTTAAGGTTAGGGTTAAGGTGGTCTGAGTAAGATGGTTAAGGTTAGGGTTAAGGTGGTCTGAGTAAGATGGTTAAGGTTAGGGTTAAGGTGGTCTGAGTAAGATGGTTAAGGTTAGGGTTAAGGTGGTCTGAGTAAGATGGTTAAGGTTAGGGTTAAGGTGGTCTGAGTAAGATGGTTAAGGTTAGGGTTAAGGTGGTCTGAGTAAGATGGTTAAGGTTAGGGTTAAGGTGGTCTGAGTAAGATGGTTAAGGTTAGGGTTAAGGTGGTCTGAGTAAGATGGTTAAGGTTAGGGTTAAGGTGGTCTGAGTAAGATGGTTAAGGTTAGGGTTAAGGTGGTCTGAGTAAGATGGTTAAGGTTAGGGTTAAGGTGGTCTGAGTAAGATGGTTAAGGTTAGGGTTAAGGTGGTCTGAGTAAGATGGTT